TGTGTTGCTGGTCATGGATGCTAAAAAAACAGAAGTTGCCTGAAGATAAACTTACTGCACAGATTTTGTAAAAATAAAATTAAAGCCAAAGCTCACAGTTGGGTGAAGGGGAGGAAGAGAAAGGCAGTTGTTTTTGATTGGGAGAGATGGGAACAGGTAAGCTAGGGAAGAAATTGTCCAAGTCAGGACATGGAGAAGAACTCACAATGTGGTGGTCTTTCCCCAGGTCTCTTCTTCACTGGCAAGACTCACTTCTTGGTCCTCTGTTGCTCTTATCTTTCCCACCACACTACTTAAAATTGCAGACCCTACCCTGAATCTCCTTTTCTGCCTTGTTTTTCTTTTCTCTTCAGCATTTCTCACTATCCAACATATATATTTTATTCCTATTTATCTTTTTTATTTTGTGTCCTTTGATCCCTAGGACAAATGGATGGAAATTACCATAGACACTTTGTCCAAGGCCACTGTTGTGAGTTCTACCATGGCATGCTGGACTGTGGGACCATGAATCCAGCAAATATCCCATTGGATCTATTTGATCTGGGGGTACCAGAGCTGTCCACCTTGAGATCACGTAGGCTTGGTCAATCAGTAATGGCCTTAGCTGAGGGAAGTTTACAGGTCCTTTTCCAATTTTCCAAGTACCCTGTAAGAATGTGTCAAGAGAGTGTTCTGGGGGTGCTTTTGTTATGATCAAATATCAATATCCTGGTCCCTAGGAAGTCATTGCAAACATTCCCTGGAAGAAAGACTTTAGTCTTTTAGTTTTTTCTTTTACTTCCTGAGGGAAAAAAAAGAGCAGTTTTACTCTACCACAAGCTTCCATGATGATGTACTACTATCTCACTGTAGGTCCAAAAAGAACATGGCCAGCTGATTACAGACTGTAACCTCTAAAGCTGTGACCCAAATGAAGCTTTTCCCCTTATATGCTGACGATCTCAGGTGTTTCTAATAATGAAAGGAAGTTGAGTAAGACAGAGGTGGGTGGAGGAGAATTTTAATAAAATATTGAATTTACCAAGACTTGGAATTAGATTTACTTGAATTAAGAAAAGTTATTATTACATGATATTTCCTAAATATTTAAGTTGATAAAAAAATTCTTTTGTTTGTTTGTTTTTATTGAGACAGGGTCTTGGTATGTAGCACAGATTGGCCTTGAACTTGCTAGGCTGGCCTTGAATGCCCAGTCCTTCTGCCTCAGCCTCCAAATCATGGAAAGTAATTCAGTGACAGTTCTCATTACTTCAATAATGAGAACACACCAGGAGAACAAAGTATATCTCACCCCATGCATTCTAAGAAAACAAGACCTGTGCATGCAAATACAAGGGTGAAGCGGGTTTTCTCCTGCTCCCCCAGCTATTTGTGTGTGGCATGCCATGTGCAATTACCACTTGCTTTACCACCTCCCTGAGAATCTCACAATAGGCCCTGAAGGCTGCAGAGTCAGTGTGCACTTCTCGTGTTTTCCTTCTGGCTGCTTAATGAGGGCCGGCTCAGCTCCCATTTGTGTGATGACCTGAAAAGCTGACCCTTCAGTCCTTGTCTCCTCCTTTTGGCAAAGCCAAGCCTACTTTTCTACTCTGCCTCTTTCCAGCAAGAGCTGCCCACAGCACCCTGTGTGGACCTAGAGATGCCAGGACTCCTTAAGAGTCTTTGATCCCTCTGCCTGTGCTTTGGGACTTCAGTGTCTGCCTGCTGGGTGGGGGCAGGCAGAGCTCTGCTTTGCTTTCAAAATCTGGCCTCTAACGCAGAATGGGAACAGCCTGTTCAGTATGGGGAAAGGCTGCTTATTTGTTGCAGCCAGTGGTGTCAAGAGGGGGGAAAGTCAGCTGTTTGCTTATTTGTTCATTATTAGAATGTAAAAATCTTTTTCTCAGCGTTAATGATCTTGAGCTCAGGGTTCAAGATTAAAACATTTTAATTCTGTTAAAATGATGACAGCTTTATTAGTGGCATCCAGGAGCACTATTTCTAGTCACACACGAAGCCTGTGTGAGTGGCATTTTACTATGGCATCCACTAGTTTCAAAGGCCTGAAATGGTCAAAACAACATTTTTGAAGAGATTGACAAATTATAAATGTTAGAGAGGACTTTGAAAGGTCCTATGATAACTTTCCTGTCCTCAACCACTTTAATCAAATAAAATCGCAGCCCACTTTTCTTTAAGCTCCTTAGTGGATGAATTAGTGTATCTTCTCTAAATATATCTAATTGTAAAATTGTTGTTCGGGCAGAAAAATACTCATTCAGCACAAATTTTCCATTTATTTTATGTTTGATTTTCTAAAATTAACCATGTATATTTCTACCAAGCAGATTGATTTTGATCCAGACTGAAAAAGCAGCCTTGGGTAATTATCATTTTAAATATGTAGGGGAAATCAATAGTTATTTTTTTTTCCTGTGTAACTGGAAATACTGAAGCCACGATGGTATTGGCTGTTAAAAAATATTCTTAGACTCTTCATATTCACAAGATGGAAATGATTTAACAGTGATCACAATCTAACAGCAAAGCAATCAAGTCCCACAGACTGAATGCTTTCACGCCGATGAGTCAGAGGTGGTCTTTGCCTGTACATGTTCCTATTTACTTTTCTTCCTTGAGTCTATATTGTTATGTGTTTCTTTTCTAGCTTTTAATACAAATTCTTCTATTACATTTCCATTGGACAATAAAGCAAAGCTAAAATAAGGTCAGGAAAAACAACATTGCCATTTACAATTGCAATTTATTGAGCACCTACTCACATGTGTCTGGCACTGTGTTAAGTTTTCAGGATGATACGATGGGTAAGACATGGGCTCTGCTCTGTAGGAGTTTATACTCTAAAATCATGGGGAATGGAGCAAGGAGAGTGTGGATAATCACTCTCCCAAAGGAAGCAGTGCTATGATTGATAAAGGTTTACACAGAGATGTGTAGGAATGTGAGACTCACAGGCAGGATGGGGACAAAGATTTCTGAGCCGAGATTTAGAGCAAACATAGGTTGTGGCCAGACAGGGCTGGAGAGGATGGAGTTTCAGCAAGTATCAAAAAGGGACAAAAACATATCCAGTGGCCTCTGTTATTTCAGGAAACTGCAACTATCTTGGAATGGGTGAGACAGAATGTTCACATGGTGTCAGGGCAGAAAAAGAAGCTACAAAAACAACTGATGAAAAATACTTAAGGTCTATTAGGTAGCAAAACGACAAGGAAGACATTGGGCCCCATCAAGACAATCTTTGTTGTCATTATAGGAATCTATTGTATCTGACCAAGAAGAGTCTATTTTTCTGATCTTGAGATCCAAATGCCAGTCAGACATTTGCAACCTAAATCTTTCTAATCTGCAAAGGAATCTTTGAGATGTTCCCTACATGTGAAAGTGCTTAAGTGAATTTATTAGTATGGCAGGCCTGCACATACTTATTTCACTATATGTCCTAATCCCTGAACAAGTAATTGCAAAGTGGAACAGTCTCTTTGCTGAAAAACACAGAGCTCCTAGCTTGAACAGGATGAGGGTCAGGAAAGCAAGATGGACGAACTCTTAGAGCAGGTTTGACTAAAGAGTGTTCTCCCCAGAGTTATTCCAGCTTCATGGTCTTTGCTAATAAAGTGACTTTCATTAACAATCACGGCAAACTTTTCATTAAATGAAGATATGATTGGGGTTTCAACAGTGTTGGTTTCTCCATACAAATTAACCTTCAGAGAAAAGACCCTCTGAAAGGCAGAGGAAAGTTTGAACAACATGGTCAGTTGAGAGCATCTGATAAATGGCAAGTTACCCCCTCTCAAGTGAATTGATTATGGATTTAGTACTTGCAATTTGGTATTAGTCCTTTTCCTTGATTGGTTGAGGCTGCAGGAAGTCTGCAGTGAGGTGAACAGATTGGGGCATGTCCAGAAGACAACAAAATGTCCTTGACACACCTGCAATATGCTCAGAGGACACTTAACTTCCTCTTGAAGTCATGTGATTTGAACTTGTGGCTGTTAGTCTGTGGGAGTACAATTAACCCCTTCCCACTTCCTGAGCTCCCTGCATAGGTTCTGCCACGGCCTGCAACATATAGAGTTGTTATCCCTCTCATGGCACAGTTGTGGGCTTAATGATGGGAAATTTCATGTCATGGTTGTCCCAATGCATTTGATGATGGTGCAATGATCAAAAAGATGCCAGTGATGACAATTGAACGTCCCTTTGCCTTCCCAGCCTCCTTCATATATTCTCAGGCATAGGATGACAAAGGGAAGTCCACGAGTCACATGAAGAAAGACGGTAGCCATGGATACACGGTCAGGAGCTCCTCTGCTGGCCTCCTTCCTCCTCTCCATCACCTTCCCATTCCATCCTCATTCTGTTTATCACCATCTTGCCACTACCCGCCATGCTCCTCCCAAGGTCCTATTTGATGATTCATTCCAGCCTAACAAATGCTTAGCCCACGTCTGACTCAGAGGTGGTGCTCAAATGTTGTTGAATGAAATAATGACCTGCAAGTTTTCCAATGTAAGACAATTTTCAGGGAGCCTCTCCTTGAACAAGATAATACTTGCTTACATGGATGGAAAGGGTGAAGGTTTTGGGCTCATAATAAAACCCCTGTTCACATCTAACTGTTCCAATAGTTGTATTTAAGGTAAGGATGTAACCTCAGTGAGATGCCATTTTGTTATGTGTCAAAAAGGAAGATAACTCCTGCACTGACAGACTGATGGATACATGAAAAATGCCTTGCATACCTCCTAGAACACAAATGCTGACTTCTCTCTAGTAGCAGTGTAGCAGAACTGCCAAACTGTTCTGTCTGGTATCTTTAAGATGATGAATACCGAGTCGCTAATCCCTGATCCTGTCGGACGTCTTAGAATAGAAAAACAGTCAGAAGGGATGAAACAGTTAGGAGTTTTTAAAGGAAATGAAAGCTTCTGTGTTAATTTTTGTGGCTGGGGTTTAAGAGGAAATTCAAATTTTCTATTAATTATACTTACCAATTGGGTCTAATTGGCAACTACCCCAAAATGAACAAAACAAGCGGGAGTCAAGAGAGAAAAACGGCAGGCATCCTGTCAAAAAATAAAATCTTTGAAATTTCTACAATCCAAGGGTAGGATACATATTTTATTAAAGCGACGGATCACCCAATTTGCATGAATTTGTACGTGTGACCACAGCCCATGTTGCACATCCAGGACCTATGCCAACCACTGCACAGCCTTTCTTAAAACTTAACAGGTTCTTAAAATCACCATCCCTTCACTGCAGGAAGTACCCTTCACACTTCACTTCAGCCTGGATAACTACTGGGTAGGTGAAAGGGTTATAATGATTTCATGTTAAGTGCTTGCACCAATGTGTGGCACTCAGTAGATCCGTAAGAAATGTGGTTGTATATTATTTTATATTATTATGTTATTGCACTGATAATTATGAATCCTTCAGTTTGGTGTTTTCCAGGACAGGAATTAGATTTATCTTTTAAGTGTACTGTCTGATTTTTGGAGAAATAAGATTTTTGTTCTCAAATGATGAGCTATAATGCAGCTTAAAAAAACTACCCTTTCAAAGACTAATCTAAATGCTTTCCTTTTTAAAGAGAAACTGAAAGAAATTCCAAGGTGCCATTCAACATGAACCATGTTGTTTACTGGACTCACTGCCTATATTCTTCACTCTTTCTTTCTCTCATTGGCCAAGATACACATACACAACACACACGTATTCATAAACATATACGTATATGTGTATATTTCTTTTCCAGAAAAGCCTTTACAGTATAATGACTCTTCTACCCCAACTGGGAGATGAATTCGATGGTACGGTCATGTCTCCTGAGTTTCTGACTTACTGAACAAACTATCTTGGGCTAGATGGCCCAGAAAGCATTTTACATTAAATATAGGTCTTAATGGAGAAGCCTACTCACATGAATAACGCTGCTTCTGTCTTATTTTTGTTCCTTCCCATAAAGAATATTTAAGGTCAACCTCAGACCCTAAGGCTAGTTATTTTGCCCCTCATTTCCCAGGACCAAGCTAGACTTTGAGAGCAGGCTCTTCCTGGGGAAGTTGTTGGGGTGCGGGAGCTGGGCAGGGTGCTGCTGTTTGGTTGTGAGAGGCAAGGCAGGCACTGTTGATGGAAGATCGCTTGGTCATGCTCAGAGCACATAACCTGGCCAAGCTGCCTTCTCACAAGAATGGACTCACTGGGAAAACCACAAAGTGGCATCCCTCAGTGCACAGGATACAAGGGTTGGTTCCTCTGGGTTCTCCATAATTTGTAGATTAAAAAACCATGGACACTGCTGGACATTTTCCAGGGCGTTTCTAATTAGCATGTTTCTTAGAACACAAAGCCTGCTCGAACCAACTCTCCAGGCTACTCTACCACTGTGTATGACAATTAGACCACTTACTACATGCTCTGAGCAAGTCCCTCAATCACCAACCATGTGACCACACCTCCAACCCAGCAAAATTTCACACATGTGTGTGGATGAACTGGAGAAAAACTGTTGGCTTAGTTGCATCTTCCCTGTAGTGTGAAAAGCAAGCTGGTGTTTTTAGTGTATTTCTCCCTGACTTATCAAACCCTAATGAACAAAAGTTTAAATGACTCTTTGGTGGAGAACCAACCAGGTAATATTAGTGTCATAGTTAAAAATGAAGATGTCGAGGTAGCATGCATTTATCGGGTCTACGAGTGTCTTGGTATTTCCTTAGTTACCTTTCAGGACATAGTTTTGAAATGAGGCTGATTCTCTAAACATATTACTTCTGTTTGTCACTCAGGGGGATGGAAAACTTTTTATTTATCTGAATTCTTAGAATCTCTTGTCAAATAGAGTAAGAAAAGCACTTCCTACACTAAGAAAGTGTCGTGACACTGAACCAAGTATGGCAGACCTAGGATTCTGCAGGCTAGATTCAGATGAAAACTGCCAAGTTGACTCACTGCGTGAATTTCTGCAGGACACTTGACCTTTTCCAAGTGACTTTCCTATTTGTAAGATATATATATATATATATATATATATATATATATATATTCCTGTTTATCACTTTGATTCTTTATTCTGTCATAATATCTCTGTATTAACCAGCCAGCAAAACAGAAACAGTGAAGCCTGTATGTATTTTTCTTATGATTTTAATGATACTTCCTGAACAGTAACTCTAGTTTACATGGGGTTTTTATTTATGGCTGCAGCTGAACTTTTGCTTCTTCTGACAGAAGATAAAATAATGAAAAGTAAAAAAGTATAGACTACATGCAAAGCAGTAACCTTCTGCCCGTTGAAAACTTTCACTTGTGTGACTTTCAATCCTTTGCCTCCATTCTGTCTGGTAAATCTTACTTGGGTTTGGTCCACCAGGTATCCATAAATACACCAACCAGAAATGTTCCTCTGAGCACCCATGGGGCTTTGAACCACTCAAAAATATTTACCCCTTATTGCTCCACAAGCAGCTTTTTGTATGTAGAGAAGCTATGAATTAAGGGGTACAGGTGTGTGTTCATGACAGGCTCCAGGGGTTCACCGTACTGAGCTTTGCTAACTTACTTGGATTTTTTGTTTTCTTCTTGGTAAATTGGAAAAATAATGGTACCTATCTCAAGTTTTTTGTCAGTTTAAATCAGCTGTTCCTTGTCAGTTATTTTAAACTAGTTATTGTTAACTTATTTGTAAAACTAAGTTTTTAGTACATAGCTATGCCTTAATCTTGCACCCCTATCATGTTTTGTATATTGTAGGCACACAAATATTTCTAAAGTAAATGCTTAAAAGAAATATTGTCAAGAGGAAGTAAAGCAAATAAGCAACTGCTATTTTAAGTGACAGATATTTGCGTTCTCGTGATTGTCACATTTTGAAAGGGTGAGGAAATTTGACATGTAATTTGCTTTCATACGAAGAATCTGTAAAACTATAGTTGGATACAGAGTGTCACGAAGCTCCTTCTCCACAGTGAGCAAGGAGACAAAAGCCAACAGTTGTCTGAACAACTATTCAGGGAGCTGTGTTACAGAGGGGAGAAGAGCCTGAACTGTGAGGTACCCAGGAGCGTGACGAAGGGAAGTGAGCAGGTTGAGATTTTACTCATGATAGGGGCATAAATATAGGGCATTTTGATCTCCCCATTGTAATAACAGGATATTTGATTATAATTAAGGATTGGGAATAAATTTATGTTGTTCTTTAAAAATTTTTTATTAGCACACGTTTGTGGTACACGTTTACGGTACGTAGTGATCACATTCATTGTGGAGTCCGCGTACAGAGTACATCTTCAGCATCCTCAGGCTTTTTACTTCCTTTTTTCCTCTCTCCATCCCTCTCCTCCCCTTTACTGCCCCTTTTCCATTTGCAAAGGCTCTATCTCCAGTTTCCTATTAACTATAAGAGAAACCACAGGACATTTAAATTTGTGTCTGATTTGACTGCTTTTTCATTTACCAACTCCAAAGAAGGAAGATGATTTCCGTTCTGATGTCTGGTGTTATTAAATCTAAGCAGAAAAATGTATTACACTGGCTTCCTGGTTTTTATACGTACCCTTTATATCTAATTTGAGACTATTGTTACTCATGTGTCTGTACCTAGCTGTCTTTCCTTGGGCCTCCTGACTCGATGCTTGCATTGTGTCTTAGGAGGAGGAATCGCTGGAAGACTGAGTGAGACAGAGGGGAAGGAACATCTAGTGTGGCTCAGATGCTTCCGGGCCCACACGGGTCAGGGATGCTGGGTCACCCCAGGGGCCAGGGGAGATGTGGGTCACTAGGATAAAATAATAGAGTGAACAACTTGGAAAAAAACCCCACTAATGTACAACACAAGGACTAAGGTTTATAATAGTATTCTGCATTCAGGATTTCTACTAAATGAGTGGATTAAGGCTACTTTCATCACAGGATATGATGGGTAACCATGGGCGAGGCAGGATATATTCATGGGTTCCACCACAGTGCTATTTGCTGTTTTACTGTGGCTGTCTTATAATATGATGTATACCTTAAACATATACAGTAAACTTTATTTTTCTAAAAGAATGCTATATAATTAAGACAGAAGGGTACTAAACTTCCATATTATGTGGACAGCCTGATTTCTTCTGCTTTTCTCTTTCTGTTATGAAAGCAGTACCTATACACCATAAAAAAATCAACATCAACAAGTTTTTAAAGGTATAAAATGAATAGTTTGGCTGCCTGCTCCCTTTCCTAAGTTTCATTATAAATACTAATTATTCACTTGTATCCTTTGTTCTATAAACATGTGAATATATTTAAAAATCATATTAAACATATGGTTATATTATTGTACAACACATTGTTAACTTAAGCAATGAGAAAATATCTTTCCCTCTGGTGATTATATTATCACAGCGATTTCAGAATATTTTATTATATACCTATTTGCATATCAATGAATTAGGTTATTTCTATTTTATTACTGTAAATAATATTATAGTAAATGTATACAGAATAAATTCCTAGAAATAAATTTTAATAGGCTTTTTAGTAGAGTGTGATAAGCACATTTAAAATCAAACTGAGCTGGCCAAATTGTCTTTCAAATGAAGTTGCCCTAGCTGGGCATGGGGGTGCATGCCTGTAATACCAGCATTTGGGAGGCTGAGGCAGGAGGATCATTGTGAGTCTGAGACTAGCCTGAGATAAAAAGTGAGCTCAAGGCCAGCCTGGATTGCCTTGTGAAACCCTATTTCAAAAAGACAAAAAATCCCAAAACAAACCAAATAAAGTTTTCCTTATTTATACACCCATTAAAAATGTAAAAGTACATATTTCTATCTACATTTATTAACAATAGATATTTTGAATCTTTGGTTTTTGCCAATTTGACAGGCTAAAACATTTCATTGTTGAGGTTGAATATTTTATTCCCCATAATTTCTCTGTTGACACATTTTGCTCATTTTCCTATGAAGATTTTCATTCTTTTTTATTGATTTCTAGGTTGTCTGTATATTGCAGAAATTAGCTTTATGTCATGACTACTAATGTGTTTCATTTTGCCATTTTTTTATGAATTTATTCACTGTAT